AGTCACATTAGGCTTATAGAGCCAATGAATTTAGGGGGCCATGACTCAGTTCATAGCAACTTTCCACAATGTACTATGTGTATATCACTATAATAGTACACTCCTTCCATTGAAATACTTCCTCTCATGCACCTATGAGTGTTTGATTTTTCAGTCTCCAAGGGGAGAAAAAACCCCCACTATATCATTTTTGGAGATTAAGACCATTTCTAAAGAAAAAGGTCAAAGTAGGGGAAGGATATAGAGATGTATCATTAAGCGTGATTGGTAATGAAAAGAATGGAATGTCAGGAGGATGAATTAGTGAGAAGAGGAACCAGTAAAGTGTCCTCTTCAAGAATCAGCTCTCATAGAATTTCCAAAAATTTACATAAGACCAGTTGCCCTGGATGAAAAAATAAATTAATAAATAACCTAATTGACATTTTTGGGCAAAGTTCAGCTCTTTAAAACTTCAAAAGAAAAAAGAATGAAAAAGAGTTTCCCATAAGAAAATGAATATTACTTGTTTGGTGTGGGGTTTTTTTCTTATCTTTTTTTAACTCTGAGGTCTACTGTGGAGTTATTTATGAATATAGGATATGAAGTTGTTTGTTGTTTAGTTAGAGAAATTCTAAAATGCAGATATTTTCAAATCTTAGATATAGCACGCAAATGCATTGGAAGCCAATTCTGAAAGGATAGCATGTCTTTTGCCATAAAAATGGACATTTACTGAAAGTTCAACATAGAAAAATATTCTGGAAATACAGGTTTTATATCTCAATGAAAACAATATTCTGTATTTGCCTTTACTATGTTTCAATAAAAACAATACCAGTTATTTGCTTTTATATCACTTATAAAACACTTTTACACAAATTATCTCACTTGAAGTCGACCACAAACCTCTGAGATTGATAGGTAAGTTATGAGGGACAACTCACAGATTGGGAAACTGAGATTTAGAGGTTAAATACATTTTTCAATGTGGAAAAGAAAAGATTATCATGGGCTTATCCTCAGTTAACAATTTAGGGAGGGAAGAAGAGAGAGCTATTATTGGTGAGGGGAAAGAAAATAGTTCCAGGAAATGTTATGTAGAAACATGAAGACTAACCTCCTGCATAATGATTTAAAATTGCAATATGGGAACATAAGCACTGAAATGAGGCATGTAAGGAGCCTCATTTCACTAAAACTGAAAACTGGCTCTATAGAGGCCCAATAAGTAGGATGATGTGTGACATTAAGTGAAGCAAAGGCTTAATGAGCCTCACTCTCTGACTTGAGGGTGGCATGTACAAGTCTATTATTAAAAACAATGTCACCTCAGATTCTCTAGGAAGCAGGGAGTCCATGAGCAGATTTTTATTAGAAAAGAAAATACATACACACCCCTAAGATATATATATATGTATATATATATATATTTAACATAAATATTAAAAAGATCTATTTTTATTTAACATAAATATTAAAAAGATCTATTTCTATTTAAAACATTGAGACCATGCACAGAAAAATAAAATATTTTATTACAAAATAATTTTTAATGTAGACTATTTCTTACGTCAGTGCAAGAATATCCGCTGAGAAAAAAAGACTTAATTTCATTTTATAAATAGCTATGGATTAGAATATAACAATAGTTTGAACTCTGCTATTGCTGTGCATTTAAAGCCAAGATGATGACTGTATTGAAAAAGAGGGAAGAGAAAATCAATAGATTATTGCTTCAATGAAGCTCACAACAGTGCTGATTAGAGAACACAAATAGATGGCATGATAGGAAAATAACTATAAACTGGGTATGGATTTAAGCCTATGTTAAGACCATTCTTAACTGCATTGTATCTTTAGAAAACACGCATTGAAATTACAACAGCAAATTAAATCTATTCGACCACAAAATTTCATACATAAGAAATAGCATTTATTAATGATCTGGAAGAGGGAGTAAATAGCATGTTAATGAAATTTGCAAATGATACTAAATTGGAAGGTGTTACAAACAAAGACAAAGACAGGGGTTTAATACAAAGGAACCTAAAAGTGGGGGAAAAGCCAATGGTGGCCCCTCCCCCCCCCAAAAAAAAAGCAAATAAAAACTTATAAAAATATTCACTGGAAAAAGTTCAACTTGAGAAAAAAATAATACAAGAGAAGTATGGCTGCAAAAGTGACTCTAGAATTTGATCAGGGTTTTTTGATTATAATAGACTGGTTAATTCACTCTTGAGAGGGCCTGGGCCCGCTGCTGGGAAGCAGTCATTGCTTTGCTCCACTATCCTCTCTCTAGGCAGACCAGAGGAACCACATTGCTTAGTTGTAGACCTTTTGGAGACAAGCAAAATTAAAAAAACATAGAGACCAGGCATATCAGTTAACAGAACAAAACAAAAAAACTACACTGAAACAAAAAGAATGACTAGTGAAGACACACGATACGTATGGGTGTTATCTAATGGAGTGTTTATAATCAAGAGCAGCCACGAGTGTAAAACTCTTAGCTCAGTGCATGGCATATGAGAAGTTAGTAGATATTAACAATCACAATTATTATTCTTATTATTCTCATTATTATTATTACTACTGCTACTAGTATTAGTACAACCGTGAGACAATTCCTTCCTGGCAATGCCTTTACTCAGATACTGAAGGGATTTATTCCTTGAACTTGTTCAATGCTCTTGGGCCTTTGTACTGGTTGTTCTTTTTTTTTTTTTTAATATATTTTATTGATTTTTTACAGAGAGGAAGGGAGAAGAATAGAGAGTAACATCGATGAGAAAGAAACATCGATCAGCTGCCTCCTGCACACCCCCCACTGGGTATGTGCCCGCAACCAAGGTACATGCCCTTGACCGGAATCGAACCCAGGACCCTTGAGTCCGCAGGCCGATGCTCCATCCACTGAGCCAAACCGGTTAGGGCTGGTTGTTCTTGTTATAGTACCTTTCCCTCCTTTTTGTCCAGTGAATTTTCTTCATTCCTCTTGAAGGGACTTAGCAATTCTTTGTCTTGGAAGCCTTCACTGACCTCCCCAAACGGTCAGGTGCCCTGGTGTGAGCCCCCATCGTTGCCTCTCTAAGAGCACATCGCAGCATAATGGCTTGTGTCTTTCCTGGCTCTTCCATTTCACTCTGAAAACGCTGTGATAATAGGGACCACACCTGAGTCACTGTTATGATCACAAAGCTCAGCCAGTGTGCCTGCCATTCAGTAAATGTTTGTTCAATAAAATTCGCCGAAGTCCCCAATTTCTCTTCTTGCCCTGCTGCTCCATTCATACCCTAGATCACCTAAATAAATTTGGTACCCGACATATTCTTGTGCATCCTCGAGTCCTCAGGTTAGATTGTAAACTAAGCTCAAACAATGACCTGATCTTCATTTGTGATTTTAAGGAAATGGCTACCTATCGTAAAAGATGTTTGAGTGTGTGCCTTAATTTCCCAGGGACTCAGACTGTTGCGGGAGATAAAGCATCACACCTTATAGGAACAGTCGTTAATGCTTAGCTATGATCCAGACACAGACTACCCACAATCTAAGATGGAGAACTGAGATGGCCAGGGAGAATGCTCCTGGGTACTAGCTCTCATCATAGCTCTTCTCACTGGAAGGGGAGGAAAGGCCACACAGGACACTTTCCTTTTAAGTTACCTTTCCTTCTTTCCTTAATAGAATTTATGTCTGCACTTTGCTGATCTACTGATAGTTGGTGGCACTTCCAGAATTTCTATTTAAGAGGAACTCACGGACAACAATCTCACTGGATGAAAGGAGGCTAGGAGACTTTCTCTTTAAGGTAAATTTGCATAGCAAATACACTGTTTTTAGTGTCATTGCATGTTTATTTTGGAGGGTGTTCTTGGGTACAAGTGGGTGCTAAGGACTCCCGATCCACCCCACTCCTGAGAGTACATCTATTTTTAGTATAGAGACTAAAAAAAAGAAAAAGGAAGGCTTGATAAGAGAATATTTTGCTATTTACGTTTATAAACCTATAAGGGTGAAAACTAACCATTATGCTTCCAAAAAGATTTGAAAGTTTGAAGAAGTCAGCCATAGGAATAAGCACTAGACTACAGTTATTAGGTTCTTTTGCCTAAAGAGATCAGTATAGTCATAAGGAAACAGGCAACTTGACCAAAGAAGAGTCATACTAGAGGCAATCAGTTCATCACACAATTATGTATATACTTCAGCTATGGACACAAATAATAAAATATAAGTTATGACCTCAAGATGCTGGCAACATAATTGGGGATACAAGAGAATGTCTACCAGATTATCATTTAGGCATGTCTGTGAGACTCCTCCTTACTGTTCACTGTTCCTGCTGGTTATTCTCTTAGCCAGTTATAAGAGGGGGGGATAGAATGAAGAAAAAATGGATAGGAGGGAAGGGTCATGTGGCTAAACATATTGACTCCTAAGGCATGTGCTCCGAATTTAAAGCAATACATTCATAGTTTTAAAGCTGGAACCTGTAGCTAACATCTAATTGGGCCTTCTTGTTTTGCAGAGGAGAAAACGGAGGCCTGCCTAGCAAAGTATCCAGCTGGTAAGTGCCAGGATTAAGACCAGGAGCCAGGTTCTCTGATCCCCAATCTCATGTCCTCTCCACCACAATGTAGTTAGTGCCTCTGAAGATCAGGTGAAATGACTGCCTTATGCCTGGGCCTATGCTAAAGAGCCTTAGTTTTCTCTTACTGTTTAGGTGGTTTTTAGAATTATTTGATTGGGAATTATTTTTTTGGAATGACAATTTTCATCGAGCCTAATTTCTCAGTTACCGAAGTAGAATCCATCCATGCTAAAATTTCTCGTCAAAGGGGAAATCCACTGAATCTGAGTAACAGACTAGAAAGCTGTTTTTCTGACCTGTATTTACCCATCCCTCCACTTTCATATCTAACTAAATGAATGATTTACAATATTTCCCTCCTGACCTCTTTTCTGTATCTCAGCTTCCTATTTCAACTGCTGCATCTCTACCTGTTTTTCGTCCCATGACCTCAGCTCAACAGGAAGCCAGCTTCTCCTCCACTATCCCTATTTCTGTCAATGACACCATCGTGTGCCCATCACCCAGGTCTGAAATCCTGGCATCATCTCTGACTCTTCCCTTCCCCTCTTCTACATCTAGTCGGTCACCAATTTCTGTGGCCTCTTCCTGAAACATGTCTCTCGATTCCACTGCTTCTTTTCTAATTCCATTTTGCACACTCTTACTCAAGCCCTCAGAGTCCCATTCCCAGGGAGTGAGAATACTTACCACTCAGGCTGCTTCCCATTTTTGCCCTGACAACTCATCCTACAACCCCCGTGGACTACTCTTTCTCTAAATCACCATGAAAATAAAAAGACAAAGACCTATTCGACCCCTTTGATGCTCCCTTTCCACATTCCCCAGTGTCCATAAGATGATAAACTCCAAAGCACAACCCCCTGGAACATGTTGCCATACTTTTGCAACATCGTCTCACTTTTCCTCCACAGAACCATCCTTCCCAATCCACAGTTACTTTTCCTCCCCGGTATCTATTTCCTCCTTCTGCTGACACCTGGCAGGGACGCGCATGTCCTCAGCTGAACTCAGCTTTGTTCAAGTCACCAACCTGGGCACAGAGCATGCCCCCTCCTCAAAATTCAGCAGGCATCTACTACAGGTTCCCCTGAGGCAGCCTGCAGCCCCGACTCCTGTAAATATCTCTGCAGGCCTGTCCCCTTCCTAACTAGATCAGGAAGATCTGCAGGGATGGAAGCAACCCCCCAACTTTGTACTGTTTGTGGATAAGGACTGACTTGACAGGACAGATGGTGATAACTTGTTTAAAAAAAAAGACGTGAAGGTACAAAGGGAAGAAGAGGCACCGGCCCCGGCGACAGGGCAGGTGGCAAGTGCCCCCGCCGAGCGCCCCCGGGTCCCAGGGATCTGGGGGCGGAG